TCTCAGGGACAGGTCCTGTACTCGGCCTCAGAAACAGGCTCCCGCTGAGGCCCTTCCTGTGCCACTCGGTTCCTGTGCCTCCACAGCCCGTCTGCCTCCCCTGTGGAGGAGCCGAGGATGAGCAGCGGGCACTGCAGGAAACGCCCGGGCAGTGAGGCTCTGGCCTCCTGGAGCCACGGGCTGTGGGGCCCTCTGCCTTCCAGATGTAAATGGCAGCTTCCTGAAATAGAGAGGCCCTGCCCCACAGAGGGCTCCTGTCACTTCCTGACTGACCCAGAGCCCTCCTCGGGGACCCCCTCTCAGACTGCCATGGGGACCGTGTCACCGGTCCTGGCGGGACCACTGCTGCACGTGCAGCAGCCTGAGGCTCTTCCACAGACCCTTGCCTGCCATCTTCTGGAGTGCGGTCCTTGTCACTATAGTGTCTATGGTGGCTGCAAACAGTTGTGCAGGGCACGAGTGCCGCCACAGGCGCCACCCCGAGCCTCCCTCGTGCTCAGCCACAAGATCCCAGGAGGCCAGTCCGGTGGAAGGTGACGGCATCCAGCCAGGACACCCCAGGCAGGACTCTGCGGGGCGGGGGGGTGCATATGCGGGAGCTCCAGCCGTGGGTCAGATTTGGTACAAGGCTTTGGCTAAGTTGTTAGATTGGAAAGTTGAAAGTAGATCTCCGCATCTTTGTTATTGTTTTTTCAAGAGCATGTTCAGCAAAGGTGGCAACCACTTTGCCCTCCCCCCTTCACTTTAACAGCAAATGTCAGAACACAGTTAAAAATAACCCCCTCGTGTCTGAGTAAGAACGGCTCTCTGGTGATTGGCAGAGTGCAGCCAGCGGCAGTCATTTTGAAGCTCTGCAAGATGTGGGTCTGTTTGCGCCTCTCACCGGTTTTGTAGCCAGGTGTTCTGATGCGACCACACTCCTAGAAGCAGAACCACGTATATAGGTCTGTCAGTCTGAAGCTTAGCTGCCAGCATTCAGAAGCCTCCTGCTTTGCCAGTGGCCTGGTTTATTTTAGTAAATGAAAGCCTGCCAGTCCATTCTGGGAGTTGAACTGTGCTTCATTTTAAATTGAGGAATTTCTAGCTCTGGTTTGGATTTCAGAAATGGCTTTGAGAGCGTCGCACACTCTTGTCGTGAGCCCTTCAGTGCCCAGCAAACCAACCTCCCATGTCCGGGCCCTTGGGTCACACAGGTGAGGGTAGAATGTCCCCTTCTGACTGCACAGTGTGGTCTTCCTCATGCTGTTGAGGTGGTCTTAGTCACATGTAACTGGGTTTTAGAGAAGCTCATGTATTTATTCCTTACTAGCATGTTTATTGTTAAGTGTTGAAGCACTTAACAGTAGCCACAGAGATCGTATTTTACAGAGGTACAGTCCTGCCCCTTCCCCGGGCATCTTTAACTTTCTTTTCAGATGCCTTTGACACCTTTCAGTTCTGTATGACGCGAGCCTCCTGTTGCTCTGTTTCCAGCAGGCCTGGGACTTGGGTGGCCCTCGGGTGTCTCCCACCGCCGCCCCATATCCACGTGGTTCCCTCCGTCCTTGGCCCGGGGCAGGTTCCATGAAGTGTATATATCAGAGCACATGTGATTTTGATGTTTTCTGGGGTTTCTTTAAAAAAACTGGAAGATTATGAGTTATGTCAGAGTTACAAATATATTTTTGATACCAACAGATAGTTCTCTTGTGTGAACTGTAAGAATGCGTGTTTTGTCTGCCATCGTTGTGCTCCCTTCATACAGGAGGGAGTAATGGAAATACTTCTAGACGAGTGTTCACATTTATTTGTGAGACCAAGTGAAATAGGCTTGAGTGTCAGCCTGGGATGGCGTTGAGAGGACCTGAGGCCTCAAGCCCACGGGCCTTTTTTCTCCTAAATGCTATGGAGGTGGTGGTGGCCACTCACAGAGGCTCCTAGTGGTCAGCCTGCTGGTGTGTCTAGCCATGTTTGTCTCATGCATGCATGTGCACCTGGCTACAAGGTGAGGGGATCTGTATCTCAGGTGAATGAACAGACCCAGGTTGGGATGCAGCTCTTAGGAAACACAGAGTTAACTGTAGTCAGTCAGAGGACTCCGAGTATTTCAGGGCTTTAGCATATTAGTTGGTATAAACCTTGCAGCCACCAGGAGGTGCTATTAGGCTTTGTGATTTGGATGAAGAACTGGAGATTAGGAGATTGTGAAGAGGCAGGCTCTCCATGCACCTCGCCCTGCGCCATGCTGGCTGTCAGGTGAGAGATGGCAGTGGTTTGTCCCTAAGAAGGAGGAAAGCATTTTATTGTAGGTGCCCTGTTAGGGGGCCGCATCCTCATGAAGTGTTTTCCTAACTTGTTCTCAAGCCTGCTGCATCTCGGATTCTGTCAAGGAGATGTCCAAAGTCCATCCCAGTGCTCCTGAAAAACGCTCCTTGGGCAGCACTCAGAAGTCTCCATTTTGCTGTGGTCTTTTGAGGGTGACTGGTAGCCCTGCCCGGCTGACCAGCGCTGTCCTCAGAGGTCTCTGGGGTGGTTTTGGGGATGGTGCTCTTCTCTGGTTTGTTAATTCTTTGTCATCCTTTCCTCCCGAAACAGGAACAAATTATCAGTCTGGTCAATCAGATCTGTGGCAAAGTATCTGGTAAGAATGGCAGCATTGAGAACTGTCTCAGTAAACCTACACCAAAAAGGGGGCCCCGCAAGAGAGCGACGGTGGACGTGCCGCCCTCCCGGCTCTCATCCTCCAGCTCCTCCAGAAGCGCTGCGAGCTCGTCGTGAGGCTGCCAACACCGCGGTCGACTGAGATCTATTTTTTTGTAATTATTATATTCTAGTTTGGAGTACTTGCTGTAGGATACAAGCTGTCTTTGCACTAGCTCTAAAGAAGATTTTCTTCTGGTTTTAGAGAACTAATTTTGTTTTAGCATTAAACTGTTGAACTTTTTTTTGTACTTAGAATACCTAGATACTGCAGTCAGATTTTTGAAACTGCCGTATATTCACTGTTTTAAAACCCTTGAGGGGCTGTATTAATTTGTATCGCCCCTGTGGCTGACAAAAGCCTTTTTGTTTGATTTTTCTTTGTAACTGTTGGGGAAAAAAGGCTTTTTAACCCATTTTTTGAAGAGGGTGAAGTTTGGAGAACAAATTTTAAAATCATCAGTCATGGGAGCAGATTTTTCTAGAGAGGAAAAGGGAGACACACACACACACACACACACACACACACACACACACACACACACACACACACACACACGAAACTTGAAAAGAAATGGCTTTACTTTGGCTGTCTTTTCTTCTGTCATGTGCAAGATGAGTTTGTAATTTTCTAAACCGGAGAACCCCCATTTTGTTTCTTCGGGCGGTTGTGGCAGCTGAAGGCGGACGTTGTTTCCTAACCATAGGCAAAGTGAGGAGGTTTGAGTGACGAGGTTCTCTTTACCAGCACATCACTATGCATCTGTTTAAGGACAAAGGAGAAGAGAGAGAAGAAAAAGCCTGCCTGCCTTGGAGGGGTCACGTGCGGAAACCTGTGCCTGATTTCATTAGGAAATCCATTCTGTTATTTTTTGGTGCTGTTGGCTACTTTATCAAAAAACCCTTCAATAGCATCCTTAAGGGAAAAAAAAAAAAGGAAAAAAAGTGATTGAAGCCGTTAAGTGCTTCTTTGTCATAGACGTGCAATCTTTCTAACATTCCATCTTCACCTCACTGCTTGTTGTTTCACACCTTCACAAGTCAGCATTAATCTCTTTTTAAATTTGTTTCGTTTATGATCACATTTAGAGCCACTAGGTCTGCAGTTCTTTTTGAATGTGAAAATGCATTTGCGCTCATCTTGTCTATTTTTTCTCTTCATGTTGTAACAAAAAGATAGAAAAAGAAAAAAAAAAAAAAGCCCATCCTTTTGTACATATGCCTGTAAATTGTTTTAAATACTTGAGCCTTTTTCTCAGTGGGGGTGGGGAGGGGGGTGAGAAGACAAGATGAAGAAAAGCCTTACATTTCAGTTTCTTCATCGGTTGGATTGGATGCTTACAGGGTTTTTCTTGTAACATTTATAAGTGCTGCTTACATCACTGAACAACGACAAAAAAATAATAATGGAGTAGCTGTTGCCCTTCTCCGGTTGTGTGTACAGTATGTGTGGAATAAAGAAGGGAAACTGTTTTCACAAGCTGTTCTTTGTTTCATAATTGGATTCATCGACCCCGTAGCTACCCATATTGCACTGAGCTTGCCAGTGGGACTGTCAGGAACGTCCTGTGATCCACTTTGTTGGTTGTTGTTGCAGAAGACTGAACTGTTTTGGAATATTTAACAATGACATAAACAGAGTCAAGTGTTTTCCAATGTGGTTGTCCGGTTTTTATGGCCTTGCTGTGTACTTTCCCTCTTTTTGACAGTAAACTTCTGCCTATGGCTTACAGTTTGACATTTAATTTATTAGCGCTGCTCTGCACTCCTCCCTTGGGAGGGAAGACTTCATGTTGTTTATTGCCAGTTTTTGTTTACTTTTCAGGTTTGTACTACAAGGTTTAATAATAAAAACAAAGTTTTTTGGATATCTGTCTGTGGAAGATGAGTGAATGAAATGAGCAATTTCTTTTCCGGTAATTGGACAGAGGGTGAGAAGCCCCCCTCCCCCATCCCAGCCAGGGAGCTGCACAAACACATTTTGATCTTGCTCACTTTCCATCTGCTGGTGCTGGCCTGAATCCCCTTCGAGCAAAACCAAATGCCTGCTTTTGCCCTCTTATTTTCTGTGGGGCCCACTGGGAACCAGCTAGTGGCCCTTCCTCCAGAGCGGAGGGAGAGTCTCCTCCCCCCAGGGGCTGGCCTGTGAGGTGTGGTGAAAGGAAAAAACCCTCTGTGGGACCTGTTTCTTGTCAGGGGTAAGAATGGCGTATTGATTTGCTTATGTTCCTTTCTCTTCCTTTGGGCCCAGGCACGTGTTCCAGAATTAGTTAAAGTAGGAGTTACTCGAACTGTTTGTTAATAATTTTCTAACAATCAGATGAGAACCCAAGTTTTATTAGAGCTGAATTTGTTTACAGTTCTATTTTAAAGGGAACAGAATTCCATTTGTGAAGGGCTTTTTTCTTCAGCGATGAGCCAGTGTGGAGACTATACTTCGAGGCCCAGCCTTGCCCCATGCAGGGAGGCGGGGAGGGGTGAGAGGACAAGCTGAAGCAAAGCCTTGGCCGTGGTGGGCCGAGTTGCCCTCCTGCATGCTAAAGCCTGAAGAGTGTGTGTGTTTAGATGTCTTTCTGAACAAACTGCCCGTGCACTCTCTTAGTTTGAAGTCCTCAAACTTTATTAGCTCTTCCTTCAGTCTGTTTCTCCCAAATTACTGGCAAATGTGTGAAAATTAAGAGCCTCCATGAAACAACCTGCCTTCACTGAGGGATTCTGCGTATGGCTGAGTCTTCCTGCAAAGGTGCCCAGAGAATGCGATGCCCGGGTTTAGGAGTCACTGTCGTCGGTGTGTAAGGTGACAAGGGCAGTGTCCACCTCAACTCCCTCCTCGTCAGACTGAACGACGGGGGACTCTCCGCCTTCACTGGGGTCCTGGGTGGCTGGATCAGTGCAGGTGGAGTATGAGGAAGGTGACTGGGCTTGCAGTTCAGAGGGATTTGCAACCTGAAGAGTAATTTCATTCTGACCAGTACTTAATTCAGGCCCTGGAAAACAGGAGAAAAACTGTGATAACAGTATTCCAGTTTAAAATTGCCACTGGAGATGGTAGTTTGACAGGTAAAAAGGGTGTCAGGGTTTTGCTGTGGTGAGCTGGGGGCTGCAGAACTGGGCTGCCCAGGACAACACAGGATCGGTCCTGGAACAGGCTAAGCTGGGGGTGCCAGGGCAGCCAGGGCCCTGAGCTGATCCTCCTGCCCCGTGTGACAGACGCTCCTGCACCCCTCCTGCAATGTCCAGGGAAACCCTGCACTGATGGCCCAAGGGCACATCCTGCATTTCTTTGAGGAGCATCCCATGCGATCTTGATAACCTAGATTTACTTCTTTACATCCTTTGAGGTAATTCAGATAAATCAATGCTAAGAGAAAAACTCAGTATTTCTCCAATTTCACAGGGAGTAAGTTCTTAAAGGAATCAAAACCCTATGCAGCCCTGGCCAATGTGGCTCAGTGGATGGAGCGCCAGCTTGCAGACCGAAAGGTTAGTTCCCGGTCAGGGCACATGTCTGGGTGGCGGGCCAGGTCCCAGTCTGGGCACGTGCAAGTGGCAACCCAGTGAAGTATCTTTCACACATTGATGTTTCTCTCCCTCTCTTTCTCCCCCACTTCCTGTCTCAAAGAAATAAAGAAATGTTAAAAAAAAATTCCTGTGCAGATGATGGAGTCCCTGTTTCTAAATCTCTTGACTCTGGGAAAGGGGCCAGTATTCCTTCTCCCTTGCAGTGTCCCTGCCTTCTCGGGACAGCTCTGTTCTCACAGACCTGCCTGCTGTGGGGAAGACGACTGAGAAGATGAAAATGACACAAACTGGCAAGAACTCGAAGGGGCTTGCCTTTGAGGAAATGGGACCTGTGGTGGTGGCTATGCTGCCTAGAGGGGTCACGTGCTGCTGGAGGCCTGCGCTCTTTGCCTGTCCCTCGGTTGTATGGGGAAAAACTTCAGCACTTTCTTTGTAATGACCTTTATGTAAGAAGACCCACCTGGAAGGTCTGGTCTGAAATTCAAAATGAAGGGAGCCCAGGTACAGGTCTGGAGCCTTCAGTGAATGTTTACTGAAGGGATGTGACATTTTGGGAAAGCATTAAATGGAGGGAAGGTGCCCAAAGGGTTGCATCTAATTTTTAAAATGTAAGCCAAATGCTAAACACACCTTCACCTTGCCCACAGCAAAGATGAAATAAACATCTGCTTAATGAAGGGGGACGTTCAAAGGCAGCAAATACACACTCAGACGTCTAAGTACCAGGTGTGTGAGCCATACAGGACAGCTCCCCACAAGTTCCAGTCCATAAAATAAACACAAACAGCCAAACTCAAAATTCTGAGACAGAGGAGCTAAAAAATTAAGGAACCTCTTGTTCTTGGAAGGTGTCTGGGTAGAGCAGTTAAGTCTGAGAAATTTGTGACTGAAGAGCTGATGTTTCATTTGCCTGCTATTGGGAGACCAGACACATGCATGTGGAAACGGGTGAGCAGCACACAATGTTGACTGTGGCTTAGAGACTCGTTCATACATTCTTACTGTCTTCCCTTTGACAGGAAATGATGTTAATAAGTATGGGGAAGTTTATGCAAGTCTGTCACCTCCTACCTAAGACAGGGGACAGCACGGCATTGTCTTCTCCACCTGAATTTAAAAAGACATCCAGGGCTTCCTGGTCGGATATATCCATCAGATCCATCTGCTCCAGCATGTCGATGTTTACCTCCATGGACGACATGCTGCCCATGGGCTCTGGGGACAGATTGGCACAAACAGGAAATTAGACTTTTTAATCCTCAGCAGTACTTTAACGTTGATTCATTAGGCCAACTGCACTGTGCTTGCTAGGTATAAAATCTCTCCTGCCACTCAAAACAAAAATACAGTTGGGAGCAATACATGGAGTGACACGTCCTAGGATGGTACTTAAATCCATCCTAGAGTAATCGCGGTCACTACTGCTGCCTGTTACACCTTGCCTGGCAGGTTTCCTGACCCCTGCAGACAAACCCATTTCTGCACGAAGCAGTTCCTGGCTGCTGGGAGTAGCGTGCTGTCTGAAAGAGGCTGACGTTCCTGCAGCAAGGTCTGGCAAAGCTCCCTGCCAGACACACCTTGGCCTTCTTCTTGCAGTTGCCCCGAATTCTGTCATTCCAGTTGAAGTTTTCGCTGTCCTTTTGACATTACTCTTCAATCTTAACAGCAGAGAATGTTAGGATATTGGCAAGAGCTCCCTGCAGTGAAAGCACAGACTAGGAAAATAATCAGCCCACCAACAAGAAGCAGCTTTAAGACGACAAGGAGCCTGTCTCAGCCCGGGTGCCAGGTGAGAGACGCTTCCTGGGTCTGGCGTTCCTATTTAAACTGCCCCTGTGGCCTAGAAAACTCTAAGCCCCAGGGTATGATAGTGCCTGGCAGATGCAAATACCAATTATTTCTGGAGGGACACCCCCTGAACCGTGGGCCTCAGAGGGATAAGAAAACAAAACCTATTCCAATCCACCCCCAAATTTACAGCACACACATGGAAATAAGTTAGAAACAAACTCAGTGTTCTTTCCCAAGAATTTTAAATGACTAAATATTTTTCAATCAAAAGATAGAGTTAAAGTGAACAAGGTATAAAAATTAGAGCAGGCATTTGAAAAAGCCAAAAAACTTCCATATTGGAAAAATTTAATCACTGAAATTTAGAACTCTGGGCACATTAAATTGTAAAGATTAATCATAACAACCAAAGAGGAAATTAGTAAACTAGGAGACAGACTAAATAGATTCCCCATTATACAGCAGAGAAAAAGATGGGACATTTGAAAGAGCATAAAGGAGATGAAAAATGTAAAAGTTCACAGAGTTCTAAAATGAGAGAATGGAGAGGCTGTGGGGGAGCAGGCAGACAGAGATGCTGGTTACTTCCCAGACTCGCTGAAAGATCTGAGGTCCCCGACTTAAGAAGCAAAGTATATTCCGAGCAAGAGAGTAAAAGATATCCTGACCTACAGAAGAGGGCAGATGAGGAAAGAATAGAATGAAAGCTTCTCAACAACAACAAAAGGCAGAAGACAATAATACATTCAAAGAGGTAAGATAAATGTCATCTGTAAAATTATGTATCATTAAATAGCATTAAGATCAAGTACAAATGAACAAGTACTGTCAGATAAACGCTTTACCACGAGCCTACTCTCACTAAAGGAAGGTGGTGATAAATAAATACCAGATAGAAGGTCTGAGATTCAAGAAACATGTTTCGCAGTGAAAATATTTGTAAATGTGTGAGTTAATATAAGACCTTGAATGAAGTACACATAGTAGTGTCCAGCTGGGGGATTTACTGGCAGAATTAAAGCATTAAGCAATGACGCTAGCACAGGAAGACTGCGATGAGAGTTGGAGTCTAAGATCCTTGTTTTATGTGGTAGGACGGTAAGCATCTGATCATCTTTCAGCACCACAAAATCATTAAAGTTCAGTCATAAAATAAATGGTATGTCAGAGGATGTAATTTCTTTTAGCTGGGGGAAAGTTTATTACCATTTAGGTGACCCACTGAAGTGGCAACATTCAGAGCAATGGAGCAGGGAGCCCGGCAAAGTCTGCCTTCTCTGCAGCAGACCTGCCCAGGCACCGGCCTTGTTACTTCAAATTCCCAGCCTGACAGAATCACAAGGGGCACCAGTGCCCTGTTATCCTGGAGCTTCTCCAAGGCTGACTGGGGAGGGGAGCCTGATGGCACGGTGCTGGAAGCTGTTCTTGGGGGTGCTCTTCTGTGGGTGTTGGGCGGCCAGGAAGTGGGTGATGCGCAGGTGTTCTTGCGTGGCTATGAGGCCGTGAGCTTGGCATTCCGGCTTCTGTCCTAACTTTGACTCCAATTTTGAAAGGGGCAGAGGCTCCCTCTGCTGTCTGTGCTATCCTCTTAAGAAGGGCAGGAGTACAACTTAAAACAAAGGAGAGGGGGAAAACAGACTAAAACGCACAGGAAAAGATTTCAGGAATATAGCACCAAATAAGGTGTTAATAAAGCTGGGTATATCAGCTATCACAATAAATGTAAGTGAACCATGTTTGCCAGTTAACAGATTATGAAACCAAATTAAAGTGGTAAAATCTAGTAATAACCAGTTTATAGGAGACACTCGTAAACAGACACAGAAACATTGACATTTTTTAAGAAGTGGAAAGTAGGCAAGGAACTTTTAAGAGGAAAGCTGATGTAGCTATATTAATATCAAACAAAAGCAATACTGGACTGAAGGGTTGTACTCAGTTATTTTTTTAAAGGTTCAATTCTCCAGGAAGATAACTCACAATTACTGTATGACTATAAAAATGACTACAATGACAAAAGTATAACATCCAATATCATGAGGGTGGGTATAGGAAGGTTAAAAGTACCTTTTTGAAAACTGATAATTAAGCAATCCAAAAATTAGTAATAGGGGACATCTGAACAGCCCAGTTAACAGGTTTGATTAAATGGGCACATACAGTGCCATGCCTATCACTAAGAATCTTGTTCTCAAGCGCATAGGAAACATGTAGGGAAATTCTCTGTAATGGGCCACAAAGTAAATTGACTAAATATATATATATATGGAATCTCCAAGATTTCCAGTCAAGATGGCGGCATAGGTATAAATGCAGTACTGACATCCTCCTGCAACCACATCAGTAAATTACAACTGAACTCTACAGAACAACCATCACTCAGAACCACCTGAAATGAATAGAAGTTGTACAACTGGGAAATTAAAGAAGCCACCACATCAAGACTAGTAGAAAGAGCAGAAATAGAGAACTGGCTGGTCCCACACCCATGTGTGGCTGTTAAAAATTTGGGAGGATATCTCAGCTGCAGAGGTCCCCCTGAGGAGCGAGGGGTCTCAACGGAACTCCAAGCTCGGAGTTCCAGTGCCAGGAAGAGAAGCCTCCATAACTTCTGCCTGTAAAAACCACTGGGTATTGAGGCTGAATGAGACAGAGCTTCTGCAGTCTCAGGCATTTCTTACAGGGCCCACACACAGACTTAATCGTGCTCCCTCTCTCTGAAGCTGAGCCCTGGGTCAGCAGCTTCAAAGGCACCACAGACATATGGGAAGTCAGTATCAGGACGAGAGCTGAGGGGACTGCTTTCTTCCAGAGAGAAGTGCTGGCAGAGACCGTTGTTCCTTTCATGAGCCATCCTCCCACAGCGCCAGCAGGTGGGCGCCATATTTGAGACGCCATCAACAAGGCTCGCACTGCTCACCCTGCCCTGGTGATTCCCTGAGGCCCTGCCCCACCCAACTTTCAGGCCTGCCCATACTGTTTCCAGTGGCTTTTCCATACAAATGGCCTGTATTGGCTCATGCTTTGGATTTTCCTAAAATCTCTCAAACATGCAGCATCCACCCTCAGCGTGCCTTGTGCCTTTCACTAAGTGGCCCCAGGCCTGGCACTGGCACTAGGAGTAGCTGGTCTTAGTTCACAGCTTGGCCTTGTGTGGGCACCTCCAAGCTCTGCATAAGTAGCAGCTATCTGCAGATCGTTTTGTAGCTCATGCTGGGTGGCTCTAGGCAGAACAGGTGGTGACTGATCTTGGCCTATACCTCACTGGAGGCCCCAGAGCCCAAGCATCAGTGGACAGCTTTGGACCACGTTGAGGCACTACCACCCAACCATTCCATAAACAGCACATTGAAGGTGTGGACTCAGCAAGTACCAGACCGCCACTGATGTAAGTCCTGCTCTGTGGGGGCCCCTGCACAGCTTATCCTCTCCGGTGGTTGGATGTCAGTGGTCAGTGGTTGCAGCCAGTCCTTGGCAGCTGCTTGGTCTGGGGGTAAATCCCTCCCATTCATATACCAACAGCAATCAAGACATAATTACCACAGGAGGACATACACACCCCACAGGATGAGGGGTGTACCACAAGTACTCAGCTTAGGTGATTGGGGAGGCTGTACCAATGGACCCTACAGGACACCTACTATGTAAGGCCATTTTGCCCAGCCTGTGAGATGTAGCAACACTACCTGATACATAAAAACAAACACAGGGAAGCAGCCAAAATGAAGAGACAGAGAAACATGTCCCAAATGAAAGAACAAGACAAAACTCCAGAAAAGAATAAAATAAGATGGTGACAAGCAATCTGCTAGATGCAGGTTTCAAAACACTGGTTATAAGGATGCTCAATGAACTCAGAGATAACTTCAACAAAGAGGAAAAATAAAAGTGGAATTAGAAAACATAAAAAGGAACCCGTCCAAAATGAAGAATATATTATTTGAAATGAATGCATTACAGGGAATAAACAATAGAGCAGATGAAACAGAGGATCAAATCAGAGATTGGGAAGATAAGGAAACAGAAAACATCCAATCAGAACAGCAAAGAGAAAAAGAAGATTAAAAAAAATGAAGATAGTGTATGTATGGAGCCTCTGGGACAACTTCAGTTGTACCAACATTCACACCATGGGGTGCTGGAAGGAGAAGAAAAACAGTAAGAAATTGGAAACTTTCTGAAAAAATTATGACAGAAAAGTTCACTGACTTGGTGAAGGAAATAAACATACAAGTCCAAGAAGCACAGAGAGTCCCAAGCAATATGGATGCAAAGAGGCCCACTCCAAGACACATTATAATTAAAATGCTAAAGGTTAAAGGCAAAGAGAGAATCTTAAAAGCAACAAGAGAAAAGAAATTAGTTACCCACGAGGGAGCTCCCCTAAGACTGTCAGCTAATTTCTCAACAGAAACTCTGCAGGA